TTATAGCTGGGACTCAGCGTTTTGTGAAGACGGGGCTTCCGATTATCCATGCGATGAAGACTATTGCGGGAAATCAGCCTTTTCTGAACCCGAGTCCAAAGCAATGGCAGATTTGGTGAGAGGAAAGGCGGACAATACTGTCGCTTATATCTCACTACACAGCTATAGTCAGCTCTGGATGTATCCGTGGGGTTATAAAAAAGCAAGTCCACCAAATAAGAGTCAATTGGTTAGCATTTGTCAATTGCTTTCAATATTTTCAATGCATTATTTATATTAAAAATTTAATTCTTTGAAAATATTGTGTAAAACAGGACACGTTGTCTAAATTGGGTGTTGACGCTATTAAAGCCACAAATGGACTCTCTTTTACTTACGGAACGATTGCTAATACTATTTGTATGACTATTTGATGCAATTATTCTACTATTTTGTTACTAATATTTTGAATTCAAACTAAATAGACGTGGCTTCGGGTTCTAGTGTTGATTACGGTATGTCTTCACACCATAACTATAGGAATTGTAGTTTAAATAATGATTAAATACATGCAAATAGTTTACGACACACTTAACGTTAAAGTGGCCTTCGCTCTGGAGCTCAGACCCGACCGCTACGCCCCCAATGGCTTTGTATTGGATCCCAAGTATATAAAACCCGCCTCTGAAGAGACCTGGAATGGACTCCGCACTGTCATCGAGAATCTTGATAAATGATTGAATAGCAATACTTTTAATTTGTGGTAAATAAAAAGTTACCAAATAGAAATTACTGATATTCATATTACACTTATGAATCAATTATAAATTCAAAATTGTTTTTCAATATTTAACAATTTGTTTATTCATTAAATTAAATTAAAATAGCATGAAAAATATAAAACTGTATTTTGTTTTCGAGTGAAATGATTTACTTTTATGTTATTCTTGACTTTGTTGTACAGTATAAACCATAACTTCCATTAATTTTGATTACACGTGGAATTTATAACTTTGTTAAAATACCAATATTTAAAATTTACTTAAATAATAATAAACTTATTCATCAAAGTGTCTAATAATTACATTTAAATTTTAATTAAACCTTAAGAAAATATAAAGTTTTAAAACATAAATATAATTTTGATTTAAAAATGAATGCTAAGATTCGGCATTAATTGAATGATATTTGACTAAAAAATAATTTGTAATCAAATTAACATTGTTTGCGAACATTATTCAGATATATTGCAGTCAACATAACAACATAAATAACAATATAAATGGCATTAAAATATTTATAATTTATATACAATTCCTATCATTCACTCATCATTAGAGCAAATATTGCGAAAAATATAAAAACAATTCCTCCGATGAGCGTAACTGTCAAATAAAAT